GTCCAGGCCCGTCTGAAGTTTGCCAACGACCATCTGGATGATCCAGAGGAGGAATGGGAGAAGGTCATGTGGTCTGATGAGACAAAAATAGAGCTTTTTGGTCTAAACTCCACTCGCTGTGTTTGGAGGAAGAAAAAGGATGAGTACAACCCCAAGAACACCATCCCAACCATGAAGCATGGAGGTGGAAACATCATTCTTTGGGGATGCTTTTCTGCAAAGGGGACAGGACGACTGCACCGTATTGAGGGGAGGATGGATGGGGCTGGGGCCAACAACCTCCTTCCCTCAGTAAGAGCATTGAAGATGGGTCGTGGCTGGGTCTTCCAGCATGACAATGACTCAAAACACACAGCCAGGGCAACTAAGGAGTGGCTCCGTAAGAAGCATCTCAAGGTCCTGGAGTGGCCTAGCCAGTCTCCAGACCTGAACCCAATAGAAAATCTTTGGAGGGAGCTGAAAGTCCGTATTGCCCAGCGACAGCCCCGAAACCTGAAGGATCTGGAGAAGGTCTGTATGGAGGAGTGGGCCAAAATCCCTGCTGCAGTGTGTGCAAACCTGGTCAAGACCTACAGGAAACATATGATCTCTGTAATTGCAAACAAAGGTTTCTGTACCAAATATTAAGTTCTGCTTTTCTGATGTATCAAATACTTATGTCATGCAATAAAATGCAAATTAATTACTTAAAAATCATGCAATGTGATTTTCTGGATTTTTGTTTTAGATTCCGTCTCTCACAGTTGAAGTGTACCTATGATAAACATTACAGACCTCTACATGCTTTGTAAGTAGGAAAACCTGCAAAATCGTCAGTGTATCAAATACTTGTTCTCCCCACTGTATATACTGAACAAAAATATAAACGCAACATGCAACAATTTCAACGGTTTTACTGAGTTACAGTTCATATAAGGAAATCAGTCAATTGAAATAAATCACTTGGGAGCCAGGCACACCCACTGGGGAGCCAGGCCCAGCCAATCAGAATGAGTTTTTCCCCACAAAAGAGCTTTATTACAGACAGAAATACTCCTCAGTTTCATTAGCTGTCCGGGTGTCTGGTCTCAGATCTTCCCGCAGGTGAAGAAGCAGGATATAGAGGTCCTGGGCTGGTGTGGTTACATGTGGTCTGCAGTTGAGAAGCCAGTTGGATCTACTGCCACATTTTCTAAAACGGCATTGGAGGCGACTTAAGGTAAAGAGTTGAACATTCAGTTCTCTGGCAGCAGCTCTGGTGGACATTCCTGCAGTCAGCATGCCAATTGCATGCTCCCTCAAAACTTCAGATATCTGTGGCATTGTGTTGTGTGACAAAACTGCACATTTTAGAGTGGCCTATTGTTGTCCCCAGCACAAGGTGCACCTGTGTAATGACCATGCTGTTTAATCAACTTCTTGATATGCCACACCTGTCATGTGGATGAATTATCTTGGCAAAGGAGAAATGCTCACTAACAGGAATGTAACCAAATTTGTGCACAGCATTTGAGAGAAATAAGGTTTTTCTGTATGTGGAAAATTTCTGTGACCTTTTATTTCAGCTCATGAAACACGGGGACCAACACACAACATGTTGCGTTTATATTTTCTTCCATATACAGAACCAGTCAAAAGTTTGGACACACCTACTCATTCCAGGGTTTTTCTTAATTTTTACTATTTGCTACATTGTAGAATAATAGTGAAGACATCAAAACTATGAAATAACACATATGGAATCATGTAGTAACCACAAGTGTTAAACAAATCAAAATATATTTTATATTTGAGATTCTTCTAGTATTATGTGTATTAGCATACTGTTAGGCCATAATTTACGTTTCATTTGATGGTGTTTAATATGCAGCGTGTAACCTAAGGATTCTACTTTGACTTGCCTCGGTGCCAGTGATTAACACTAGAAAAGCCTGGCCTCGTTGGACCACTCTTCCGGCCAATGATGCGTCTTTTGAAAGTAAACATTCTAACAGTCTAATAAATACATTTCATATATGCTATTGGAAGCATAATCATTTGGTTGTGTTTAAGATGGTCTTAGGTAACATTAGAATGCAAAAGAAAATGTATTTCAAAGAACACAATAGTGTTTTCATTAGTTTATGTAACTGTAGGCTGTACAAAAGAAAACCACTAAAACACCACAATTCAAGTGTTAAAATCCATTAAATAAACACCATCACAAAGATCATGCATTATTCATTTGTTAAGGGCAGGTCTTAAGGAATTAATTTATGAATTAAGTAAATGCATTTAAAAAGAACAGAATGGCATATTTTGAGTTTAAATATATTACTGTGCTTTATTCCAAAAGTTATATTTTGGAATAGAGCTCAAGGGGTCATTTTTAAGAGTTGTTTGGAAAGGATAGGTGATTAGGAAAATGCATAATCTGCTCTTTCTGACACTATATCGACATCAAAACGTTTTACCTGCTTGTGACTCTGTAGGAAAATTAGCAAAAGTCCGTTTTTGGCACTCCGTTTTGTTTCCCTGAGTCTGTGTCAATTCTAAGCTGCACTGTTCATCAGATTCTTCATATACCATTGACCAATTTATAATATTCTCACCCATTAGACTGTTGTCAATTTTATCTTGCCTTTAGGCTAACTCTATTATTATATGTGTGAAATTAGTTTCGATATAGTTTAGGTGTAGTTTTGATGGGCCATCATAAGATGTGCAAGAAAGGCATTTCACTGTACTTGCTCAGATGACATTAAAACTTGAAACTTAAATGGTTACATTTGTGGCAGCCTACCATCTCCTGGTCACTGAGCCAGTGAGAAGTTGCAGAGCCTATTGTGATTATTACTGTTCTATCAGGGCATTATGTTCCAGTCTCATAGTCTATTAATTACAGGTCTATGGTTTATTATGTGTAAGTCTATTTGAGTCGCATGTTAAATGCAAGAGTCATGGATTTACATAGGCCTACAATACTATTTGGTCTGTAATGACAAATCACATGTTAGATGGTTTGTTGTGTGTGATCAATTACAGTAGGGTATAGGGTAGGCTATGATTTTATGATGATTTTATGATGATTTGAGTGCCCAAATTGTGGCCCACCTACATTTTTGCTGGCCCTGCCATCAACAGATTTCTGCCTATGACCCTGGCCTGAGTTACACAGTGAGACTGAAAATGTGCACACATGACGTAGCAGATTGCCCCTGGCAGTGGAACGGTTTATAACAGTCCAGTTGTGATTAAATTAGGATAGCAGCACTGCTGCCATAGCGTCCGCAATATCATCCGTTCTTTCCCCTCTAAAAGCAATTCATGTGAGATTGATAGTTTTTTCCAGAGGCGCGCACAGTTCAGTTCAGACGAGTGTGGGCTACATATGCTAATTTATCATCATTCTGACGCAGCTCAAACTATCATAGTCTACATGGCCGCCCGTCGCGATTTGGACCCTGTGTTCATTCCGCACATGTGAGTAAACTACGACAGGCCTAATGCTAAATGGGGTAAAACATAATAATTAGTGTTTCTACGGTAAGCAGTGTTCACATCAGTTCATGTATTGCCAACTGCAGTAGTGCGCCTTCTCTACTAGAATAATTCGCAGACGCCGGGGGTGTGGTCTCTGACATCACCACGCGCTGTACTCAGTATTGGGAACAGGTCTGGCTCGAGGTGTGGACCAGCCACGCATCTTTATACCAGACCATATGGACGTCTGCTTTTATATTCTTCTGTCTTTTATATCGCGTGTATTTTAACAAGCAAGTCGCACAAATTGGATAACGGTGCACGGATAGAAGGCAAGAGCTCTACGGCACTGAAAGGTAAGTTTACGCCGCAATTTCACATAATAGGCTACCACTCGAGTTTTTGCATGCTGCTCTTAAGTTCCTATTCGCCCAGTCACATTTTGTATGTGATACGTTTGTTTCCATGCCTTCATTTTATAGTGTGGCTATCATATAAAATGTAGGCCTAATGTATAATATTAGCCACACACAATGGAATCGGTCTATTTAAATAATGTTAGATTTTTCGCATATCTGTAAATTCTGTATTCGTGTTACTATAAATTATCCTTATATTGCTTACTGTCAATAGTGATGCAAATATTAACATAATGATAATAATACTACATGTTATATCATTATATCAACATATTTAATGTCATAATAGTGAGGCTATAACCATGTAACTTTGATGAAGTTTCCAGGTAGGGCTGGCTGGCTTCAGTGGGACTGGGACTTGTGTATGAAGGCAGTCTGCAGAGTAGTGAGAGAGAGAGAGTGCTGGACTGGATGCCCCGCCTGTCTGCTCTGCAGTGGATTCATATTATCCTGGTACAGGAGGGAGCTAGGGTGGCGTGTCGTGTGTTCACTGTGCTGCCACACCTGACTGACAGAACAGAGGGGACACTGGGTAGGAGGATCCCTCATCTATCTGTGGAACACTGCCAACTCTGCGGAACCTCCGAATCTCGGAACCTCGGAGTCTTAGAACATTGGAACACCCCATCAAGGCCTCTAGGTCACCCTGTCCTGAAACGGTGCTACTCAGTGCTACCCTCCTCTGCCCCCCCAGTCTGTCTCTGTCTCTCCTCCATGACCACCTCAGACCTCCCCAGGCCCTGGACACACCAGACTGGAGACTTGTGACTGACTGACTGACTGACTGATAGACAGACAGACAAACTGACTGATAGCCAGACTGACTGATAGACAGACAGAGGGGTGGAGCGTTAGAAGTGGACCTAACCAAGGACGACGAATGGACCCACTGTCTGGTTTCTCCTCCTCAGTGAATGGTGCAGTTTCTCACCCTGACTCGGATGGGATCACCCCGATGTTGATTCTGTACTGTTCTCTTCAACCCAAGGGCTACTAGACTTTTGGGTGAGCGCTAAAGTACTAAGCCTCGCTAAGGCATTGGATTTAAGTTTGCAAAGTAAAAACAGAGGACTTGAGTCAGTGACACAGCAGATCTCAGTTGGAGTCTGAGGGACTATCTATGAGCCTGTGACTGTCGCCATGACAGCCTCTGACAGCAGCTTCAAGTACCGCGCACTCTTCGAGTACAAACGGGAGCATGGTGATGACATCAGCCTCCAGCCAGGGGACGTCCTGACGGTCCTGAAGGACTCTCTGAAGGACTACCAGGAAGGGGATGAACACCGCAGCCCCAAGGGATGGCTGCACGGCACCAACGAGCGGACCAAAGAGAAGGGCGACTTCCCTGGGACGTTTGTGGAGTATGCAGGGGTGTTGAGGCAGGGGCTGCCCGCCGCCAAGCCCTGGTCCAGACCCATTCCCACGACCCCTGGGGGAACACAGAGCTGCGTGTGGCCCGGACCCCAGCCTCCAGGGGCCGCTGCAGCAGAAGGTAAGTGTTGGGACTGAGGATGGGGCATGCCAAGAGTACTCAATTCAGAAACATGGAGACTGGCCATCTGTTAAATGTTAGAGCTATCTGTTATGACCTGTTAACTGCAATGTAATGGTGCTTGGCTTTACGGTTTGGTCTGGTAATCTATACTGAACAAAAATATAAACGCAACATGCAACAGTTTCAAAGATTTTACTGAGTTACAGTTCATATGAGGAAATCAGTCAATTTAAATAAATAAATTAGGCCCTAATCTATGGATTTCACATGACTGGGAATACAGATATGCATCTGTTGGTCACAGATACCTTAAAAAAAAATGGGCCACAGGATCTCATCACGATATTTCTGTGCATTCAAATTGCCATTGATACAATGCAATTGTGTTCCTTTTCCGTAGCTTATGCATGCCCATACCAAAACCCCACTGCCACCATGGGGCACTCTTTTCACAACGTTGACGTCAGCAAACCGCTTGCCCACACAACACCATACACGTGGTCTGCGGTTGTGAGGCCTGTTGGACGTATTGCCAAATTCTCTAAAATGACATTGGAGGCGGCTTATGGTAGGGAAATGCACATTCCATTTTCTGGCAACAGCTCTGGTGGACATTCCTGCAGTCAGCATGCCAATTGCACGTTCCCTCAAAACTTCAGACATCTGTGGCATTGTGTTGTGTGACAAAACTGCACATTTTTGAGAGGCCTTTTATTGTCCCTAGCACAAGGTGCACCTGTGTAATGATCATACTGTTTAATCAGCTTCTTGATATGCCACACCTGTCAGGTGGATGGATTATCTTGGCAAAGGAGAAATGCTCATTAACAGGGATGTAAACACATTTGTGCACACAATTTGAGAGAAATGAGCTTTTGGGCATATGGAACATTTCTGTGATCTTTTATTTCAACCCTTTACATGTTGTGTTTATATTTTTGTTCAGTGTATACCACTGGGATTTTGTTGTAATTCTGGACTAAAGGTAAACAGTATCACTGACTGAATGGCAGTCTGTTATGTTGTGAGTCATCATGGACCAGAGTGTGAATTGGGCCGGCTGTCTGAAGCATGTGTTACAGCTTTACTGCAGAGAAAGATAAAATAGTGTATTTCTGTACTTGCACCAGACCAGTCCTGTGAAGTGAACATGTTGTGACACAGCCACGCCCGTGTGTGCTCCAGTAGGCTCCCATGTGCTCCAGAAGCACAGCTTGCCTCAAAGATGCTAACCTGCGTTAGCACTGTTGTCTCGCACTGAATGTTCCTCTCACTGAATTAGTTCCTAACCAAACCTTGGTGTTAGTTCTGCTAAAATGAAGATGCAGTAGCATTTGTGTTTACGAAGATGATGTGTATGCGTTTTTGAAAATAGTTAGGTCTACGTGTGTGTGTGTGTGTGTGTGTGTCTGAGTGTGTCATGACTCGCAGGCAGCTGGATTTGTTTTGATGTTTTATTCAGAATCCAGATGAACAAACGCAACACTGCTCACAAAGAGGACAAGCTCTGGTATAATTATGTATCCAAACTGCGTGTGAGCAAGCAAAGGCAACACTTAAAAAGCTATCCTCTATTTGGCAGGCTTTGATTAGTGTTTTTACAGGGCTGGGTGAGCACTGTTTTAGCTCTGTGTGTCTGGCCTGGAGTTAGGGTTGCTGTGCAGTGGCGTACCGGACACCCCCGCAAGGCCGGGGAAGCCCCCGAGCATTAGGGGGCTCCCCAACCAAAACATAAAACATGTTGCAGTTTTAAAGCTAATTTCCTGCTATTCTACACATTTCTGGTTGGGGGCCTCTGAGGGTCAGGCCCCCCTAGATAGCATATGAACATGTCATAAGCCATGGCAAAATGTTTAGAAGTACAGGAAATTAGCTTTAAAACTGCAACATTTTCTCTCAGCCTCATGGAAAAATGTGTAGAATAGCATGAAATTAGCTATAAAAAAGCAACATTTTTCTTTCTGCCCCATGGCAAACTGTGTAGAGTTGCAGGAAGTTAGCTGTTTTCGCTACCATAATGTAGCGTAGTCTAGTGTTGCGGTTGTTCGTCTGCTAAATGGGTCAGACGGCTTATCCCAGGACTGCTCTGTCTAATTGTCTGCCACGCTAGTCTCTTTTAGTCCTGTTTTCTGTTATTTATATATATTCCACTCTCTCTCTCTCTCTCTCTCTCTCTCTCTCTCTCTCTCTCTCAGAGTCTCCGTTTATCTCAGTCTCTCTCTCTCAATCCGTTTATCTCAGTCTCTGTACCTCTCTCTCTCTCTCTCTCTCTCTCTCTCTCTCTCTCTCTCTCTATCCGTTTATCTCAGTCTCTGTCTCTCTACCCCTCGCTCTCTCTCTGCTGTGTAAACGGCCTACTGGATAACCATGTTGTTATATTATGAGACTCCCAGCCAGCTAGTCAGACTAAGCTAAACTAGGCCATCAGTCCTCGGTCCCTCCAGCCGTTCTTCCTCCCAGGCACAAGACTGTATTTAACTTGAATAATTGATTGGCTGGCTGGTGCATTGGATCATGGGGCTGACACGCTACAGTGGCTTGCGAAAGTATTCACCCTCCTTGGCATTTTTCCTATTTTGTTGCCTTACAACCTGGAATTAAAATGGATTTTTTGGGGGGTTTGTATCATTTGATTTACACAACATGCCTACCACTTTGAAGATGCAAAATATTTTTATTGTGAAACAAACAAGAAATAAGACAAAAAAACTGAAAACTTGAGCGTGCATAACTATTCACCCCCCCAAAGTCAATACTTTGTAGAGCCACCTTTTGCAGCAATTACAGCTGCAAGTCTCTTGGGGTATGTCTCTATACGCTTGGCACATCTAGCCACTGGGATTTTTGCCCATTCTTCAAGGCAAAACTGCTCCTTCAAGTTGGATGGGTTCCGCTGGTGTGCAGCAATCTTTAAGTCATACCACAGATTCTCAATTGGATTGAGGTCTGGGCTTTGACTAGGCCATTCCAAGACATTTAAATGTTTCCCCTTAAACCACTCGAGTGTTGCTTTAGCAGTATGCTTAGGGTCATTGTCCTGCTGGAAGGTGAACCTCCGTCCCAGTCTCAAATCTCTGGAAGACAGAAACAGGTTTCCCTCAAGAATTTCCCTGTATTTAGCTCCATCCATCATTCCTTCAATTCTGACCAGTTTCCCAGTCCCTGCCGATGAAAAACATCCCCACAGCATGATGCTGCCACCACCATGCTTCACTGTGGTGATGGTGTTCTCAGGGTGATGATAGGTGTTGGGTTTGCGCCAGCCATAGCGTTTTCCTTGATGGCCAAAAAGCTCAATTTTAGTCTCATCTGACAAGAGTACCTCCTTCCATATGTTTGGGGAGTCTCCCACATGCCTTTTGACGAACACCAAATGCGTTTGCTTATTTTTTTCTTTAACCAATAGCTTTTTTCTTGCCACTCTTCCGTAAAGCCCAGCTCTGTGGAGTGTACGGCTTAAAGTGGTCCTATGGACAGATACTACAATCTCCACTGTGGAGCTTTGCAGCTCCTTCAGGGTTATCTTTGGTCTCTTTGTTGCCTCTCTGATTAATGTCCTCCTTGCCTGGTCCGTGAGTTTAGGTGGGCGGCCCTCTCTTGGCAGGTTTGTTGTGGTGCCATATTCTTTCAATTTAAAAAAAATTGATTTAATGGTGCTCCGTGGGATGCTCAAAGTTTCGGATATTTTTTTATAACCCAAACCTGATCTGTACTTCTCCACAACTTTGTCAATGACCTGTTTGGAGAGCTCCTTGGTCTTCTTGGTGCCGCTTGCTTGGTGGTGCCCCTTGCTTAGTGGTGTTGCAGACTCTGGGGCCTTTCAGAACAGGTGTATATATTCTGAGATCATGTGACAGATCATGTGACACTTAGATTGCACACAGGTGGACTTTATTTAACTAATTATGTGACTTCTGAAGGTAATTGGTTGCACCAGATCTTATTTAGGGGCTTCATAGCAAAGGAGGTGAATACATATGCACGCACCACTTTTCCGTTATTTATTTTTTAGAATTTTTTGAAACAAGATACTTTTTTCATTTCACTTCACCAATTTGGACTATTTTGTGTATGTCTATTACATGAAATCCAAATAAAAATCCATTTAAATTACAGGTTGTAATGCATCAAAATAGGAAAAACGCGAAGGGGGATAAATACTTTTGCAAGGCACTGTACAATCACATATCACCTCACTTCCAGCACCAGCAGTAGAAACAGCAGCAGCAGAGGAACATGGAGGGCTTAGTTTGCAGAGGGAATAGTAGTGTCCAATCTACTCTTCTATCACTGTTGAAAAGCCAGCGTAAGAAGGCTGACAGATCTGAGGTGTACAGTATGGGACAGTACTAGTATGTGGTATTCCACACCACTCTCTGCTCTCCCTTCATCCTCTGGGCTTGGCATGCAGAGAAGTGGAGTAAGAATGGATTAAAGGTAGACTCAGCGATATGACGTAGATCAGTGCTTGACTTGGGATGAAAGAAGTGCAGGAGTTGTCTTTTTCCAAGTCGTTCCATTAGACTATGTTCACCGAAATTCACAAATGACATTATGCTATATTCACTTCTGATTATACACATTTAAGGGTTCATACACATTTTCTATAACTTTACCAACATTTCATGACTATTATTATAGCCTACATGAGAAACTTAAATGTAACCATTATTGAAACTGGAAGGCTGCTGCGTCTAATCTCCTGCCGTTGTGCCCTTGATCAAGGCACTTAAATGTGGTCAACCCGCCATCTGGAGAGTTCCTGAAACACCCAAGCCTGCATATCAAGGTCATGTTGAGCAGATTATGTTTAGGCTACAACGTGGTTAGACCAGGGCTTGAACAAAAGCCTGCACACCCAGTAGCTATCCTGGAGTATGGTTGCCACCCTTGAGATAGAATATTGGGTAACAAACCAAATACTTTTGTCTTTATAAAATTATGCCCTCATTCAATGAATCAGGGATCAAATGGATAAGGTAGGTTACTTCAAAGCAAGGTACACTACATGACC